AACCTGTGTAAATATGTGTCACCAAATTCTCCTTTGGTCCCATGAGTTTGCTTTAGGAATATCAGAACTGGAAGGCAAGTGGGAAGATGAGTCCTATTTGTGATGCTGGGAAAGCTGTAGGTAGTGCTATGGAACAATAACTACTAATGGCAACTGGTAATAAAGGTAACACCTGAATGAACCTTCTACAAAGAGGAAGGTATCGGATACCAAAGAAATATATCCACAGGTGTTAGCACAAGGCCCCTCAGCATATTTGCTCTCCTGTGATGTATTTGTGGGTGATAAACAACTCTATTTCCTCCTGATTACAGCCTCTCAAGGAAAAGCCTCTCTGTAAAGGATCCTGGTACTAAACTGTATCTACGCTGAACTACTTGACCAGTACACTGGCAAGAATATCCCTAGCATTATTTCTTTCTGTTTTGCAAAATGGCTGTTCTAGAGAAGAAACAACTTTGTTCCTCATTTCATCATATACCTATCAAAATTTCAGTGCTGTGACCTGATTGTCCAGTATGTAATAAACAGTTTATGATCAGTTAACACTTATGCAAGCATCTCATTTAGCTCCAGGCTGGGGTCCCTCCCATGGGAGACAGTCCTCCAGGAACTTCTCCGATGTGAGTCCTTCCCATGGGCTGCAGTTCTTCGCAAACTGCTCCAGCGTGGGTCCCTTCCACAGGGTGCAGTCCTTCAGGAATGGACTATTGCAGTGTGGGTCTCCCATGGGGTCACAAGTCCTGGCAGCAAACCTGCTCCAGCATGGGCTCTTCTCTCCACGGGTCCTGCTGGGACCCTGCTCCAGTGTGGGCTTCCCACAGCGTCACAGCCTTTCAGGCATCCACCTGCTCCAGTGTGGGGTTCTCCATGGGATGCAGGTGAAGATCTGCTCCACCGTGGGCTTCCATGGGCTGCAGGGGGACAGCCTGCCTCACCATGGTCTTCATCATGGGCTGCAGGGGAATCTCTGCTACGGTGCCTGGAGCACCTCCTGCCCCTCCTTCTGCACTGACCTTGATGTCTGCAGAGTTGTTCCTCTCACATATTCTCACTCTTCTCTCTGGCTGCAGTTGCTCAGGGTTTTTTTCCCCCTTCTTAAATACTTTATCATGGAGGACCTACCACCATCGCTGATGGGCTCAGCCTTGGCCAGCAATGGGTCTGTCTGGGGCTGGCTGGCATTGGCTCTATCAGACACAGGAGGAGCTTCTGGCACCTTCTCACAGAAGCCACCCCTGTAGCCCCCCTGCTACCAAAACCTTGCCACGCAAACCCATTGACACACAAGTTATTGTCAAATTCTCACCACTGTTCCCTCTCAGTGGCTGACTGAGCGTTAGCAGCTATGTGACTCTTCATGCTTTGCAGAAATGCAGAGGGGGAAGGGAAGGGAAGGGTGTGCGTACAACTGACTACTCTCTCATGCTATCACTGTTTCTGTTGGTCAAGAGCATATAGTTTCTGCAAGTTAGCTGATGTGTGATAATTTGTTACCCTGCAGGATTTGTTAATCTAGCTATACATGGGGGGTCCAGATATTCCTACTTCCAGAAGCTGGAGTTGTAATCTGCTATGGTGAAGTAGCTGCTCTATAAAAAGTGAACATTTATCTATTGAACTTTTTCCCAGGCTCTGAGCTATGATTTTTGTTGCCAGTAAGTGTACTCAGTCTGTGCTCTCAGCTCTGCATCTGTTCCTGGTCAGTTGATAAGTGCCTTAGTTCACCTATTCCCCTAAATTGAGAGCATGTATCCATTGATTTAGGCTTGTTCTTTTATCTACTGCTATCAGTCCTTTGTCTCTTTAAACAAAATCCTGCCTTTAACACATAGTTTATTTTTTATTTAGGAAAGTGCAATAGACTGTTCCTTGACATTTGGCTATCCTCGCAATGCTAGCAGTTTTGCTGCCGTAGCACTGTGGATTTGGCTGGCTTGCTTGGAGTCTCCAAAAGCAAATGTGAGTATGTTGCTACATTTGTTGATTAACCCCTATTCTACAAAGCCAGTTGTGCTGCACTGTGGAGGGTTTGCAGGCTGCACGTGTATAATTTGTAAAGGTGAGGGTGGTGTCCTGTTCAGTGCACCTATATGAGGAAATTTTTATCCTCCCATAGAAGATCTTCCATGCTATTAACATGCCCGAGAACATTCAGCAATGGTTCCCTCATGCTGTTTCCTAATGATTTGCCATCATTGCATATTTGCTCCATGCACTGATGGAATCACTACCTTCTGGGAGTGCAGTCAATTCCTTTTCTGTATGAGCTCACCTTTTTATGTCTAGAAGGGCTGTTTTAGCCAAGGCTTTGTACAGTGCTACTCCTGGGCATCTTTTGAAAGCGTCTCTCTCTAACTTTAGTTGCTTCATATGTTTATTGTATGTTAGACCTTGCTCAGATCACATCTGCAGCCTTGCTCTCTGGCAGTCACTGTACTTCATTCATATGCTTTGCTCTTGGCATTTCTTTAATTGCCTTCAGTTTTTCAGGGTCCAGTTGTAATCCCTCAATGCCCAGCATAGATGTTGATAGGGTTCTTCTGCTTTAGCTTCATTATGTCCATCCTAAAATTTTGTCCTTGACACTTTTTAGGAGTTTCTGGATTGCTGGATTCATGGTTGTTGATTGCCTTTATCTTTCAATCTCCTTCTGCTGCTGTAAACTTCAAGCCTGAAAGTCTCTCTAAAGTATGATTCCGTTTACTGTAGGGCACTTCAGCACCCAAAATGATGTGCAGATAGTTCAAACCCAGTGGTATCTACTGAAGGATTTGACAAAGATTTTCAGGACTGTCACAGGTCATATCTAAAGGAAATACAAAAGGCATGTTTATTTCTGACTTCATGTTGGCGTCTGGTTCTTGAAACATGTCCTCATCTTCTCTTACAAGCTGGTTGGGGTCCATAGTGGCAATTCTGCTAGTTGTTGAACTGAAAAAATCCTTATGGTTTCCTTTCACTTAGGGAGAGCAGAGCACCTAAGGACCAACAAATTAATTTTCTTATTCCAGAGCTTTCTTATTCACGGTTTGTGTTGTCTCACTAGTTTATTACAGCACCTGATAACTTTTCTCTTGCCTTATATTGCTACCTGGAAGTGTTGCAGTCTGTTTTTTGCCTCTTGCTCTGGAGTAGTAGGTATTGATATTTAGATCCCTGCCTTTAACATTTTAGGTGTCTTTGCTGATGGAAAGCGTTTCTGTAGAGTGAGCTTTGTCCCAGAGCTGTTAATGAGTGTCCAAAATTAGAGACCAAAATTGGGTTTCTAAGCTGTGTGATATATCAGAGACAATAATATATGGGGGTGGGTGGGGGTGTGTGTGTGGTGTTTCGTATGCCTCACCCTGTTCTTGTAGGAGGTTGTGGTTGGCCAGGAAATGTTACAAATGTTGACAAATGCTCTAGTTTAAACATACATGAAAATCAAGAAGTTTAGCCACAGCAACATTTGGGTAGATTTTTTTCTGTCTTGTTTGCATTACATAGTTATAAAATAGGTATGATCTGCTGCCTACTCTGATCCGGTTGTATTTCTCAAACTTTTTGTGCTGGTAAAAAAGATTGCATGTAGGCATATAGGTATATTTTATGATGAATAAGCCCTTGCATATAGCGTGCTATAGTCACACTGAAAGATGACACCTGTAACAATTTTCAGCATTTTGGAAATGGAACTTTTCTGCTTGTTACCTCCTAATTACTAGTTTTTCAGTCTTTTGAACAAGAATATGTGAGTTTATTCTAATGGTTGCAGAAAACTTTTTTTTTTTTTAAATTCTGTATCACTATTGCTTCTAATTACTATACCTTTTCCAGGTATTTCTGTTGCACATAGTGTTCCCGAACACAGCCTGATATGCTTTAAGTTGTAGGATGTCACCTCAGTGCTTATGTCCACAAATCTAATCAGTAAGAATAAAGGACAAGAAAATTGGGAAAGAAGAGTGAAAATGGTAGAGAATTGCTTTTTTCTTCAGATAATAAAGACAGTATATGATGCTAGAGACAATGCAGTTGGCATCTTCAATGCTATTTTTCTTTCTAAATCTTGCTTCAGCTGTTACTTCTGTCAGTCAGTGACTGAAAATACTAAAGCTGCTGTGATAAAGCTGAATGTGGCTCTGGTTACTCCACCATCTCAAGAAGGATATAACAAAATCACAAAAAGTCCAGAGATGGGCAGCGATGATGGTTGTGAGTATGGAAGCACTGCCACATGAGGGAGACCTAAGCAAACCAGGCCTTTTCATTCAGAAAGAAGAGCTGACTGAGGGCAGAGAGAATATAAGAGATCTAGAAATGCTCAGTGGCAAATCCTGAGAGGTGCACCATTCACTCTCTTTACTGTACTACCTTGTGGCCATCAAATGAAGTTGCCGGAGTTGGATTAAAAACAAAAAAGGAGATCATTCCGCATGCAACAGATAGTAGAGCTGTGCAACTCATTGCAAGAGTATGTATGTCATAGATGCTAACTGTTCATAGGAATTTAAGGGGAGACTGGATGAATACATGAAGGAGGTATTCATAGATGTTTCCTATACATAAAGAAACTGCATCCCTAGATATCCATTTGACCGCTGTAGTAGAGCGAATATTGAAGTAGGTGGTCCTTATGTTTTCTAGGTCCTTAGATGGACCTATATTTTTGTGTATGTTCTAAAAGCCTGTTTTTAAATGGTCATCCTGAAATCCCATATCAATTTATTTTGCTGCTTGTCATGTTCTTTGTGGTTACTCACTCAAATAGGAGAAAATGTTAACCAAGGGTGTGGCCCACTACTATCCCATTACCATTTTATAACAGCCAAACTGGTTTCCACTGTTCCATGAAGATTATCTCATATCTAACAAGTTGTTGTTGTAGCACAAGTTGTTCTGATCACAGAAAATATTGCAGCCCATTGTTTCAAATTAGACTTAATTCATCCTAATTTTCCTATACCTGAAGAGCCTTGTTCTAGAACGATGTGTTGTTTTCTTGGGGTTTTTTAGGAATGGAGAGGCTGGTTGCTTGTCCATACAAAAGGCCATATGATCTCCGGAGGCTGATTTTTTTTCCGTGGGCGGGAGGTGGAACTTCTCAACATGCTCAATGGGGCAAACTCTTCAGCAGCTCAACTGAAGGTTGGTCATTCACGCAGCTAAAGTAGAAGTTAAGCAAGTCTAAAATAGACAGTGGCCAAATTTTTTGAATGGAATATGATGTTCTTGAGAGCACTGCAGTCTCTTTCAAATGGGTCTTATCCAGAAAGGAATTCCATTGTGAATTAGCATTTCCATTAGGGTGCTGAGTTTACTAAGTTTCAGTACCACCTTGGATCAAATTATATTTGACTAGGTTAAAAAGTTATATCCTCAGAGCTAAATTTCACAAGGCTACAGTATGCTTGACTGCTTCGGAAACTACTGGTAAGATTCAGAAATAGCAATACACTGGCATATTGTTGGTATGTTAAAAAAAGGCAGCATCAGCAAGGTTAACGGTGAAGGTATGAGAACTATTTTTAATGTTGAGAGACCGCACAGAATGAATTTCCGTTATCCAGAATGTTTGCATGGTTTTGCACTCCTTGTTTCAGAACTGAAGTTTAAACTCTGGATTTGTAACAGTGAAATGACATTTAGTTACAGTGCGAAGCAATTCCCATTGCTGCCAGGCTATATCAGCACTACAAAGATCCATCGCTGAACTATTTGTAGAGGAACCAAGGCCATTTTCCAGATCTCCCACAAAGAAAAAAAATAATTTAGCATTCAGAGAGAGCATCACCAATGCAGTTGTACCAGTCCTCTGAATGCTTGTATGCTTTCTGTAAACAGTTGCATAAGTCACATCAAATTTTCCTTGAAATTAACAAAAAAAAAAAGGCAAAACAAAAAAGTTTTTGTCCACTGCAACTACTCCCAACAAAGTTACTCGGAAGATGGCCTAGGAGCAACTGCAGACACAGATGGATAAAATCAGGGTGCAGCATGCTCTTTCAAAGATGTTTTGTGCAGAAAGGAGATACAGAAGATGCAAACATTTCTGTACTGCTATCTGAGGTACTTGGTAATGGTTTATTCTCTCTCTTCTAAAATACTTTGTGTCTGACCCATTACTTCCATATGAGTTTGGTTGTATGCGTGTTAGAAAATCAACATTTTTCTCTGATCTATTAATTCGTTACTTTCTCTAAACAGTGAGAGGAAAATCCCCAGTTTCGAAAGGAGTATAATAGAAGCAGGTAATATGTCCTTCCGTATAAGTTGCCCATCAATTTACACTATGATTCCACATTTTACTACGTGCAGTGCTGAAGAGCCTGCAAAGAAGAAAACTGAGACTATGATTCCAATATACTTTAACTTTCTAATGCTGCCCTTGAAAGGATGTATTTTACACAACCCTCAAACTTACTATTATTGAAATTAATGAATCTGTGGTTGTTATTAATACTAATAGTAATAAAGTTGCTTTGCAACTTCAGCTGAGATCAGGACCTTGTACATTTCCAATCCACAGAATTTAATGATCAGATCACTTGGAGAGGCAACATTGGTGAGTAAAGGAAGGGATGGAAACCTAATCTCTCACTGGATTAAAAGATAGTAGTAGCGATAGCAAATACACTGTAGCAACTGTAAGAAGAAGCAATTTAAATCATTATATATTCTGCAGAATTGATTAAAAAATGTAATTAAAATTATTTTACTGTTTCTATTTTAAGTAACTCTAATTTTTTTCCCTTTCTTCCTCCACCTCTTCTGCAGTGTCCTCTGTAAGGCTCCCTAAGGCCTTTTGCAAAAGACATGACAACCATAGTTAATGAAGTTACAAGTGTTTTGGTAGAAGAATTGCAAGAAAAAAATTGCCTTTTTTGGGCGCAGGTAAAAATATACACATTTTTAGATACCTTGGTGAAGGAGCTTTATCTCGGAACTTTGCGAGTAGTTACTTGCCTTTATTTGCAACAACATTAGGAAAATATACTTCTGCAAAGGTCTTTTGTCAAATCCTCCTAAAACATACTGTTGATTTCAAAGACTCTGGTTATTTATTTATTACTTGAAGCACAATGTCTTCTAAAAATGGCAGTGTTGTGGTTTGGGTTTTTTTACACTGGTAAATTATAATTGTGTTTACTGTTAATATTTGTGCCAGTGCTTGCTCTGTATGAATGCAGGGGGTAAACCATTCATAAAACACAGACTTTGAAGATCACTTAGTCTCAAGTATTCAAAATAACTGTTCTTACTCCAAGTTAAGGAGACTACTAAAAGAAAGATTTAAAAAAGGTTTAATTTGTAAAACTAGGCTGCATAGGAATATACTTCATGTCCTTTAGCTAATATCACTGTAATTTACATGTCATACATATAATTTCAGTAACTGTTCAGGATAGCCAGTTAGCACTGAAATTAAATTATGTTTAAATTTTCCAGTTTTTATGTAAGTTTTTGCATTTATATTTGCATTTTACAGTTTTAATTCTGTCTGATCATTTCAGGTTTTCTTTTTCCTTTCCCTGTAATTTGTTCTTGTTTCTGTTATAAAAAGAATATGAAATAGCAAACATGGTTTTCTCCTTTGCGTGCTTTTCCATTTCTTTTCTAGTATTTAAGCCCCAGATGAGAACACTGCTTCCTGTAACAACCATTACTGTTATCACAGTAGTGAAGAGGTCATGGTAGAATTACAGTTCTACTTAGGATCCAAAGTTAGTAGCCACTAAAAGGAATATTCTCGCATCTTTTATTGTTTTCTGAGGCTAGTAAGTGTAACTAACCATGCTTCAGGATCACTGCATCCAGCCTCCTGACCCAGGGCCCCCATGGCTAACCAGATGCAAAGAATCCTGGCGTTCTACGGATCTCGAGACCAACCAGCTGCTTCTGTCCTAACTGCTGCCCCACTGGACGTTACACAACAGCGCATGTAGCCTAGTGGTTCAGGTTTTGTACCCTGGCAGAGACTCTTGGACGTGGGACCCGTTTTGGCCATAGGGACCTGATGCTGATAAGGTCCTGAAACATTAGAACTTGAATATAAGCAGACAACATAATCGTTTATTGTAGGTGAGAATTTTTATTGCAGGTGGAAGCTCTTTTTTTCCTAATGCTTGGGTCATGCATTCTTTCTTTAAAATTTTAGACCTAACTGCAGTAGGGTAAGGAGCTGAGAATCTTCCAGTAATTCCTTCTCCTGATATTCTGAACAACCCAATTCCTGGAGCTGGTTATGTTTGGGAAGAGAAAGAAAAAGCTATGTTGTATGTGGAAGCAAACTCCAAAATGTAAGTATCTTATGGAAAGTTTTATTACTACTTTTTATGTTCACTGTTTTGAGAAGGCAGAAAGGAATATCCCCTTCCCCTGTGATATTACCTGCTTTAATGGGTCTGACGATAAACTACATGATTTAGGCGGTACTTTGCTTAAATGGTTTCCCTCTTATTCAGAACAGGAAAATGTGTAAGTATCAGTTAATGAGTTTTCTAGAGTCTTTTATCTCCTCCTTAAATGAAACAAGTCAACAGATCAGTCTCAATGGATGAACCAAAACAGTTGATATGGGATTTAAAATAATTATTAAATAATAACTTGGAAATAGTTATGTAAAATGACCACAATAGTTAACATTTCTCTGACAGTTTAAATGTATTTTTCAGCCTCGCACAATCTAACAAGTGGAGAGCTCTCCTTTTACAAGCTTCCCAGAGGTCACTTTTATCTGCTGGAACCCTCTAATGAAGTTTTCTGGACAAAATACATAACGATGTATAGAAAATGCTGGTCCTTGAGTATTTCCCTCTATTTTAATGGTGGAATGTGTAAGATTAGTCTGCAGCACTTTGTAATAAGTAAGTCATTCTTTCTGTACAATTGCATGCAGTTATGCCTAAAAGTTGTTTTGTTCCTCCAAATTGTAATTGTAATCCTTAAAAAAGGGGGATTTTTTCTGATTTTTTGAAAATAAACATTGGCTTTAGGTCTTAAAAATAAGAGAGTTTTCATATTTTCTCTATTCCCATCTTGCATGTGCACAAACCCTTCACTTCATTCCATAACCTCATTTCCAAAAAAAAGACAGCTGTTATTTTACTTTTAGAGCTTCTCTGTTTGTGTGCTCCTGTAAAAACGCTAAATATAACTTAAGACCCACAAAAATCCGTAATTCTTACAGAAAGCTTAGTTTATTAGGTTCAAATTTATTTAGAATAAGATACAATCTAAAAATAGTATGTCTGTAAACACCCTTTACAGTCAAATAGCTTATGTTTAAAAGATTTTACTGTCAGACTACACAATAAGGAGTTAGTATTGCAACCTTCTCAACAGAGTTAGTTCATTAGCTACTGAAGAGTTATTAGTGGGAATTATTTTGAGTATTCTAGATCCCATATTTTTCTACCATTGCTTTTGCTTTAGAGATATAGGCGCTCATGGCATCCTCCTTTGATAAACCTGCAAAGGAAAGTAGGAGTCATTATCTTTCCTCATTTGTCAACCTATATAAACATGACTACATGATGTAAATTTAATTGGTGTAACACCTTTTTTCAGGTTCCATGCCTCCCATTTGGCTTTGCCTTTCAAATCTAGCATTCCTGGACATTCTGCCAAAATAAACACATACCTTTGATTATCATGCAGATTGACATAGCATTTACTTGATTTCATCAAGATATGGGAGTAAATGTGCAGTATATATAGGAATACCAATATTAATATCTCCAACAGTAGCCTGTTTGTAGAATCCATATAGTTCCTTCAGTTCTTCATCAGTTGGTCTTGTTTTTAGTTTTTTTACATCTTCCGCAGCACCATCAAAGTCAGCCTGATAAAAGAAAAGAAAGCGTTAGTTTTCCTCTCAAGGGGTGTGCTTAAAACATTAAGTATAGTGCGCATGGTAGTACCATTAGATGCTCTCACTTCCTCACTTGGGTTTAGTGGTAAGTCTAGGTATTTTCCCATGAAAGAAGCTTATTAAATCCATAAGTTATTAGAAAGGGAACTGGGCCTACTTAGCTGACAGGGTCAGCACTGCTAAGGTAAGTAAACCTCTTTTTTCCAACAGTTTTACATCTAAACACTTGGAACCATTACAGACTCTCTAGTGTCAGGATATCTACAGTTATATTCATGCAAGCAGCCTACACAACGAATGTGGCGTGTCTGTCTTTCAGAGTCACACTGGGGCTACGAAGGCGTTCGCTGAACTTCACACCCCAGTAGTAATCTCCCAATCTTTTTTGGCCTCGACTGCAGTGTTGACTGAAGCAGCATAGCTCAAATACCCTCTGAGAGGTACTTCCCTCTTCCCCCTGCATTTCCACGTCACTGGTAACAGCACAGTAGGCGACCAACAGTTGGCACAGACGTACCTCACGGAGACGAGCAGTGCAACTGCCAGGACCACCTTCAACACCCAACGCTCAAACACAGCGGAGCACACAAGCGAAGCATAAATTTACTCCTTTCATCATCATGCATCCCGCACTCACATCAACCCAAGGCTATAGTTGTTCTTCTTTCTATATACTAGGTCTCAAACTAGACTTCAACATAGAGCTTGGAGTCCTGTTTCATGCCCAGGACATTTCAGACCCGCCAGGTCCCTGGTCATGCAAAAAAAGGATACAGGCACTTTAATACGCTATATGCTGATTTCACTAATTATTTTAGCTTTGGAGTTGGATCTGCATTTGCAGAAGCGGAGCAGATCCTGCAAGATGTGCTATTACACATATACTTCTTAATATGTATAAAACCAGC